TACCAACAAACAAACAATTGGGATTATTCGCAACAGACGATATACAACCCGGCGAAACCGTCCTCGAAGAAACTTCCGTTTTAACAGTCAATAATCGTCTGAAAGATGCCCTTTGCGATGCCTGCAGTACTGTATTACCGCCTTTGGGTAAAAATAGTACAGTAGTAGGATGTCCTGATTGTTATGATATTATGTTTTGTAATGAAACTTGTCTCAATCTCGCCTTGGAAACATATCATCCAGCTATTTGCGAAAAAGATGTCGATACCATTTCCAAAGATCCAGATCCAAAAGAATCACCAAATGCCCTCTATCTTCTCCTTTTGGCTCGCGCATTAGCCATGTCGGCAACTCAAGAAGTTCATCCTCTCGATTTAAAAGAAGTTAAGTTTATTTGGGGAGATTTTCTCGATTCAGCTAGCAATGCGGTTCCTATTTTCCCTAAATCAGAACCACCTCCTGTTTGGACTCTTCCATTTTCTTTCTCGTCAAATGTCGCAACTCCTCTTCATATCCTTGAAAAAATGGATATTGATATCTTTGCTGAGATTGCAAATTATGATCTTTGGATTCTAAATACTTTGTATAGTAAATTTAGGGGCACGGCATCGGCGAGAGTTAATACGACAACGGGGATGCCGGAAGTAGCGGCTGTTCATCCTCTTTGGTGTTTGGCAAACCATGATTGTGATCCTAATGTACAATGGGAATGGGGAGGAAGAATGAAATTGTGGTGTAGGGAAAAGAGAATTAATGGGAAAGGTGGGGTGAAGAAGGGAGAAGAGATTTGGAATCATTATTGTGATATCGAATTACCTGTTCAAGAGAGGAGAGAGTGGGCAGAGGGAAGTTTGGGTGGTTGGTGTATGTGTGAGAGATGTAGGAGGGAGGCGGGAGAGATTAGTGGGGAGGGAGAGGCTAGTGGGAAGGAAGAGAATTCTAGGGAGAGAAGGTTGAATGGGTTTGTGGATGAGGCTGAGGATTTCCTTACACCTACTGGTGTGGAGGTGGATAGAAAGATTGTCGAACGTGGATATGTGGATGTGAAAATGAGATCATCGGGGAAGGAAGATGTGGTGTCAAATGGAGGTAAAAGGGTAGCTGAATAGTTGGGCAAGCGATGAGCTGGTTGGATAGATTCGAAACGCGGTGGGGAAATAGAACTGTATGAATGAGTAGGCGTGGAGTAATAATCATTGAGGAGGTGATAAGTGGTTGATTTGGATGTATATATGGAGGGATGGTTATTCTATGTGGGAATATGGAATGGAATGGAAGGGATGGCAAGATTAGAATTTTGAGATAGATAAAATGAGATTATTTGAGTATAAGATTTTGGGAGAATGGTCTATATTGTTTGATTTCATTGTTGATTTGGAAATGGAGAGGGATCTTGTTTTGAGGGGGAGGAATAGGAGGAAGAAAAGAGAACAGAGGAGAGAGTGCTGTAGATAGTTGATAGTTGATAGTTGATAGTGGCTTGGTTAATGATAGTGTCATTTCAGTTCTAATGGTTTGGTATCTCGGGACTGTGGGTTTGAGTGTTTGAGTGTTTGATTGTTTGGATATTATGTGAAATTTGCAGGTTCGACGGTTAGTTACCTAGTCAGTGGTGGTGTAGGATTTGCAGTGTGAATGGGAGATGGGAGATGAGAATTTGGCTGATGGACTGATAGACTGACTGATTAGTGGGGATGGAGGTGGGGTTTGGATAGTGTGAGGGATATAAAAGGTATGAAGAATTGGGAAGGTGAGATGTGAGATGTGAGATGGGGATGGGGTTGAGATGGAGAATGAGAAGGGCGGGAGAGCGGAGCGAGAAATGAGGAATGAGGAATGCGGAATGAGAGGAATGAGGGGAATGAGGGGAGTGGGAGTTAGTCGATTGAGATGGAGGATTGAGGGTGCTGGGGAAAGAGGATCATGGAGAGCAAGAATGAAGCGGATGGGGATTGAGGAATGAGGAATGTGAAGCTGCTATGTAGGAGTGAGAAAAGTGATGGAAGAGTGGACTGAGAGTCGCGGGGTGATGGAGTAATGGGGTTGCTGTATGGGATGAATGGAATCGAGTGGAGTGGGTTGATGGTATGGATTGTACGGATATTGTAGGTGGTGTAGCTGGTGGAGATGTGTTATTTGGACTTGAGGTTTGGTGGGTAGATGCATGGGTGAATGAATATATGAATTGTATATACTGTACAGAGGGTTGAATTTCTAGATGGTCGGAATTGGCCGTGAAAGGGAGTGGTGATTTTCATGTGGCGAGATTGTGACATTTGGGGCGGAAAGGGGGTGAGCAGTGGGTGATTGAGCGGGGATGGGTTGGAGGCACTGGCTGTGGAAGATGAGAGGGGAGGAAATAGAGAGTTGCAGGCCTGGTTGTGAAGTAAGATGGAAAGGAGAGGTGTAGAGAAGTTGGAGGCATTATGATGTAGAAGATAAGCAAGGATAATAAGAAAAAAACACAAAGGGGAGATTGAGAAGAGGGTTCAGGAGGAAGTGGGGCTGTGAGAATGGATGTTGAAAGGAAAATCGAGAGAAGGACGGGAATTTGAATTGGGTAGGAATAATCTGGGGCTTCTGTTGCTTCTTCATAACGAAAAGATAAATGGACTGAGTAGATTCGTATTGGAGACAATAGGGATAGAGAGTGAAATAGGGCGGGACGATTAGATGCATTGGGATAACCGAGTGGTGCGTTCATACTAAACTGACGATGGTAGAGATGAATAGTTGGAGCTAGAGAGATAGCTTATTGCTGCAGTGGATGATTGGTAGACAAGAAACATAAACGCGGGTGAAAGCCCATTTCACGGAGGCAAAGACAATAAATTGATGATTAGATGGTTAATTTTTTTTATCTTTCTATCTATGATTTTGTCTCTTCTAGCTAATTACAAGAAGAACCGGAAACCAACTCAATGTTCAAGTTGTGTTTGCTGATTCTGCAATCATATCATAGAGAAGATAATGAAAGATCTAATCATGAGAAATGACAGGTGTAATGACGACTTGACTCGATGCTTTGATCCACAGGCAAGGGGGAGTTCAGTGGGTAGGATACCGAGTTTTTCCTGTAAGGAAAGACTGAGTTGGACTGAATTCAATGGAGTGCTGTGCTGGAGTGCTGGAGTGCTTGAAAGGTAAGTCGTGAGGATTATTAAGGTATAAGGAAATTGATAAGTTGTAATGAGTGGATGCGTTTGAGACCGCCGTCTAAAGCCACGCAAATGCGGGGTGTTGTTGGGGGTAAGCGAGGGGTTTAAAAGATGCGAAGAGGGATAAGAGGGAGTAGGATCGATGAGCGGGTTGTGATGGGTTGGAATCGTTAATTAGCGAGGAGTAGGGCCACGGCGGGAGTTACGTGGTCGTGTTTTAGCAGGTGGAGGTGGAGGGGCATATTGACGAACAACATCAAAACTTGCAGACGGGGCTGCTGTGTGTATACCGCACCCTTGGCAAATCTGTATACCATTTTCGTTCAATTTGTTACAAATTCGATACGAGAGCTAAGTAGAAACCATACATGAGTCTTTGTGGAATGTTACCTATTCAGTGGATACATACTATTGATGGAGGAATCGCCGGGTCTGACCATACCTGCAGCATGCGAGTACACCTCCAACTCCAGGGCTGGGAAGTCTGAGCGCCATTATTGTTTGGAACTGGTTGGGGTGCGCTGCGTTGCTGTGGTGAAGAAGACATCGTGGAGAATTCGATATTCTGTGTGTCGATTTTCTCAAGTTGGATAGAGAAGAGGAAAAGGCAGCAAAGGGGAGAATGCAATGGTATTTGAGTACATTTTCTCCAGGCTAAGAGCTTGAAAATGATTATTCTGCACTCAATTCTAGGAGTCAAAGTGTGAGAATTCGGGATAATTCCAGTCATTTCATGGTTTTTGTGACATATTTCAAGCAGAATCATACAAAATTGAGGATATGACAGTTCTTTTGAACATTTAGTTTGGATTAAGAGTCAGAAATGATTAGAATGTAGTCAAGTTCTGGTGTATTAGACTCAAAATCAGTATTCTGACTGTGAAAATCCAATCATTCTATTAAGATAATCATATCCTATTCAAAAAAAATGATAATCTTGATGTCTAGTAGTGACTGTAAGTTGTTGCGAGCGTGTATTTTGGGACTCATAATGTCCATCATGAATCTGTAGAATGGATTTTAATCAACTGTGGAATCACTCTGAATGTACGGAGTCATGAAGTAATTAAGTAAGGCCACACAATGACACTTTGCGAATGTTACCACCAAGGTATTCCATAGTCTGGCAACATAAGGCTTTTAATATTGAAAAGCAACTAGAAGTTTGAAAATAGTTCAATAACCCAATCATATTCAATGTCTCCAATGATTTGAATATTCTACTTGGTTTGGGCATTTGATAATCTTTTATTGTTGGACTGTAGTCCAGACTTTCGAACACTCTGATTACCGCTGACATGATTAAAATTGTCCTTTCAGTCATTCAAGGTTATCGCTTTCTCCTTGCATAGATTTGACATGACTAGAAGGTAGTAATGGCCTGAATTATATGGAACCCATATATATTGCCAAGAGTCTGGAGTCCAGAAGGTAAATATTGATCATGATAATATCTATCTTGACTTTTTGATGACAAAGCTGTAGATTAGTTATTCAGGAGTGGAGAGATGGATGAATACTACAGATAGTGTAGAGGTATGATTTGGATTTGGATTTGGATTTGGGTGGACGAATGGGTGGATCGGTGGATCGGTGGATGATCTATATACACTGTACAGAGGACTTGATTATTTGGTGATGGATGTGACGATTGTTGATTTTAATGTGGCGATGTTGTGGTGATGTTATTTTTGAAAAACTATCTTTCAACCACCCCATCCACGTGTTTGTTTCTCATAAGTGTTTCTATACAGTTTTTGGGTCTATATTTGCTCTGATATACAGTATGCTCTTCCCCAATTTCTTATCTTGAACCTCGATGGCAGCTGGCAACGTTTTCCATCAAGTACCTACATCCTTCTTGAATGCCTCTATAGCTTCAACATCTTTGATTGGTTTCGTGGCAGAACCCAATCTGGTAAATTCCTTATACTCAGGAGAAGCCTCCCCAAGCAAAAACCATTCAAGACATGTAGTCAATGAAACTCGATGTGTTGCACCACCTGTAGATACAAAAACCCAAATCCAGAATTCCATGAATTTCTCGCATCTGGCAAGCAATCTCATTCCCTCTACAGGGTCCTTTTCAAAGGCATCCCAATCTGCTGGGTCGGACCAAAGACGAAACAGATGAGATCTTTCAAAGACAAACATGATTTTGATATTCAATTTCTGTTCAACTTCTTTCATTTGTGCGCCCTCTTCAGCAAGCCAGTAACACTCGCATTCAGAGGTAGGTGGGGCGTATGTCGAGAACTGTTGTATTGTACCACCTGGTCGCATTTTCAGCAATTCATTGCGCTTGTCCGAAATTGCGTCACGTCTGGCTGTTTCTTTAGCGAGTATTTTATTCGCCTCTTGCATTCTATGCCAAGCGGTAGGACTTATTCTGGATCTGAGTGCTTCTCGCTTTGCTAAGATCCGCTTCTGTCTATTCGTCAATTGGCTTTCTTCGGGAGGAGGAGTTTTTGCGGCTTGATCTTTATGACTGATGCCGGCAACCACATTTGTGGTATTGTAATCGACTGGGTCTCCGGCTTCTTGGGTATCGTTTTTCCTTTTGGCGGTAGGAGTAGCAGCATTCCCCGTATTTCTACCGTCGTTGGATACGGAAACATCGTTTTTCTTGGGTTCAGCCGTAAACTTTGCATCTTCGGTATCGTCTTGCTCATCCGTGGGATCATCGCCGACTATGAATTGTTAGTATTTGGTCTGTTAGATGGAAGAATGATTGTTGATGATACTTACAAAGCTTCTTGTAGATAACGCGCTCAATCGCCTGGAGCTTTTCTCGCTCGGGCAAAAGCGCAATCGCCTCATTGTTTGTGGCATCTTTGAACGCATATCGATATACCATGTTCGATCTGCCTTCTTCATACAATTTCGAGCATTTCTGGTCGTCTCGAATTGTAGTTCGTCATCTTCGTCGAATTCTTCGAATGCAAGTTTGCTGTTGTGTCCAGAGGGGAAAAAATCAAAGGTGAAGATATTGGTAATCTCGCAAGTCTGAATTTCGGGTCACGTGTGGGATATTCTTGGTCAGTAAGCTACCTAGTCATATTTGTTTCCAATGGTCTGCATATGAAAACTTTGATCTGTGGATGTTCTCACTTCACATGCTCGAGTGAATATGCTTAAATCTCAGGCTCTAACAGGACCATTTAGGTGAATAACGATAAGACGGATAATAGCAAATGATGCGAACCACTGCAATAATCGGATTGCTAAGAACGGTGCAAGAAGAGATAATCAATAAATGAATGAGGGATGGTTCACGAATAAGGGTGTGATAACGTTGCTGCTATGCCTGTAAATTAACGAATCTTGCTCACGACTGTGATGAGAGAAATCATTACTCCATCCCCTTCAAATCAGTGCAATTCTCACACATCCCAAAGGGCCACTCTGAGTCCCTAATATGAAGCCATAGTCAAGATCTCGGGAACTTTCCCACAAACTAATCATCCGACAGAACATCAGGGGGGTTTGGGGACCCTGCACAATGTCCAAACTGTATGGGAATAATGTATCCATATTCAATACGACGAAGCTGATATCCACTATGACTTTAACCTCAAGTCTGGACTCGACACTGGGAACACTCTTGGATCAGGCATCATTTACGTATACACGGAAGGGTGATGATGTGAACAGAACGTTGAAAAGAAGTTCGGCTATGTCGGTAATTTCTCGGTAAGTTTGCCCCACCGCGGGGTAGCCGTCTACCTCTCTCAGATTGATAACGTTGACGTTCAATCTTGATATGATAACGATACCACTTTGACAAACAAAACTCTCTGTATATACCTAGTACATTACCATAGATTGCTATGTTCTCTTCTCATTTTCCCAAGAAGCTTTTACTCAAAGGAACTCCAAAAGAGGTAAATTCTCTCCATTCGCACTTCTCGAATGTCCCCCACTTTCACCTGATAAGCGTCTCACATTATTTAGATAGGATTTGAACATGGCAACGTTCTATCTGCTGAGATCAAAGATCAGATGGAGATTTACAATGCAATGTTTCAATCTACTTCTTCATTAACATGGCCCGAAGTCCACGAGATTGCCAAGGAATTTCAAACGACAATCCAAAAACTAACACCAGATATCTATGATGAAATGGTAGGTATTGCCGAGGGTGCAGTTGTTGATATTTTGGACATTGTAGCACTCAACTGTAGAAGTGAAATTGCTTTGGGGAGATTTACAGATGGATGTACGAGTTTAGGTTGGAAGATGCAGGGAAAAGATGTAGAAGGGAAGATGGTGTTGGCACAAAATTGGGACTGGACTGAGAATGTTCAAAAGAACTTGGCGATAGTGGAGATAGAAAGAAAGGGAAAAGAGAAGATTTGGATGGTGACTGAGGTATGACTTTTGTCTCTTATCTCTGATATCCAGTTTTGAGTCTTGTGTCAGCTACGATACAGTGTTAACAGAACATAGGCGGGAATAGTTGGTAAAATTGGGTTCAATTCCGCTGGTGTCGGCGTTTGTCTTAATGCTATTAGAGCTCGTCCAACACATACTTATAAGGTTCCAATTCACGTTGCACTCCGCATCTGTTTAGAAAGTGATAGCGTGGAAAAAGCTCTAGCATCAATCAAGGAATTAGGTGGCGTGGCTTCGAGTCAACACATCCTTATAGCAGATCCCAACAGAACTTTGAGTATGGAGCTTTCGCCTGTGGGAAATTGTTTCTTGGAGCCATGTGATGATGGATTTGTCGCACATACAAATCATTTCATCAAGAATGAATTAGTTAGCGAGCCATTCTGGCTCAAGGGAAGTCCGGTGAGACTTGAGAGAGCCAATTTTCTGGTCAGTGAGTTAATCAAGGATATGAATGATGGCCTGGAGATTGATGATGGAATCGGAAATATTTTGAGGAAAAGATTGTTCTCGGATACTTTTAATGCACCGCAAGCGATTTGCTGCCAAGAAGATCCAGAACGTCCAAAGGAAACAAGAAACAGTACGCTGTTCAATATTGTAATGAAACTGGAAGCTGGTAACCCTACAGCTGAAGTTTTATTCGGAAAGCCTGGGATGACGAACGGAGAGGTACTGAAAATGCCATGGATTTGAGAATGGTTTCATTCTGATTTTGGATTGATATTTCTCAGCGAGTTAGGGAGTTTAGCCAAGGGTTCTTAATAGTCCGGTTCCCAATGTCTGAAAGAACTTTGACATCCAAAGCAGATTCAGAATCTTAAAACCATCGAATTCACCAATTTTCTTGGGGTTGGAAGTATGTAATTGTCTGAATATAGTCAAGAGTCGCAGACTGGGTATAAAACTCAACGCAGGATAATATCCAAAAACAATTCAATGCTTTAGTCGTTCAATGTTCAACTCTTATTCGTAAACCGAAAACTTCCAATCGCCTGGCTACAATCTACACTATTAAAGACCTCTAGCTAGTGTAAAATAACTTGATTTAGATTTGGCTCTAGATTTGTATAGTGCCTTGTTTCAACCGCACCTAAAGCACCTCCATTGACATGCTCCCTTGTCCCAGATGAGAAAACTTTTATTGGAGTCTAGTCACGCAGTGTCAAAATATAGAGTCAATCAAAATAGCAGGCATGGCTGGTTGAAGATTCCCAAAAAGAACACCATTAAAGTACAAATTCGCCGAACATATCTATTGTCCTCTAGCTCCTATTATATCCTACTATGCATTTAAGCGATCCAAGATCCAAACCCAGTAAACATTCAAGCGATTCTAGAAATTCGGTCTTTCCCAAACCCCTTTCCACGATTCTCGCAATCCCCAAAACGCCGGTCCGATTTAAGGAGTTTGAACGACTTCTACCGATTTTGGTTGAGTGTGTTTTGCGTCCCAACTTTGTTTCTTGGCGGCTACTTTACTACTACTTCCCCTTCCACTGCCACCGTTATCAGCATTTCTTTTTGCCTTGTTGTCTTTAACGTTTATCCTAAATTTCTCGACTACCCTTTTTGCTACCTCTTTATCTGTTGCCTTCTCCTCTGTAAACTTTGTCTGCATTCTCCCAACTACCCTTTTTGCTGCTTTATCTGCTGCCTTATCTGCTGCCTTCTTTTTCTTTTCAGCGCCTGAGCTATTTCCAGAGTCAGAACTACCATTATCGCTGACGAGCGATGGGGGACTTCCGGCAGATGAGGCGTAAGATTTTGACATTGTTAGAGATGCACTGATGGACTAATCGATCGAGTTGTAATTGAGATTTGTATGATTGTTGTTTTGTCGGATTGACTTTGATGAATTGATTCTGAAGAGATGAAATGGGATGATATGAGATTGGGAGTGAAAAGCACAAAAGGTTCTATCTTTATACCGTTCCAACTGGGTCTAGACTTCAACAATCAACAGTTCAAAATCGTTAATAGCCGCCAAATTCTAGTTAATATTATCTGGTCAACGAGACCGCTCCTATTTTTGTTCGGTAAGTGAAACAAAATGACCGTTGGTCGAGATGTTTGCTTCATTCAACATGTCTCCTATCTCTTCCTGGAAGATATCGAGGTACAAATCTAAATTTAGAAAGGTCTCAGTAGCTACCAAGCTGAATATTCGCACGTACAAGCCTTCTTTGAGACCAGGAAAATGACGAATTAGCGCTTTTAAGCCCATAGTTCTTCAAACGCGATTTCCCGGCCTTAAATCGAGACAAACAAGAGACCCGGTCATTCCATCATGACCTTCTGTCCCCAAAATAAAAACGTGATTTCTGAGACATAATTAGTTTGTTCAGCGCTTCGGAGAAGCTTGAGTTAAAGGGTTAGTGCTATCAATCTCTGCATATATCAGATATGAAATCACTTGAAATCCATACCTACACTTTTAACAATAAATCCAGACACAAATCGAAGATCTTACCGAAGAGCTATTTTTAGCGAAAATTTAGTCCACTTCTCGGTGTTAGTGGCTCGAGCTTCCCCGTCCTCTTCGCTACGGACCATCTACGTACAACCTGGCCGGATCCCTATTGACCAGCCAAACTGATGGGGAGTATCTCTCAATTTGGACTGAATCCAACAAATTCTAGAAGCTAAGGGGAAGCGTGATGGAGCCATAGTAGCTGATTTCTTGAATCATTACCGCTATCAAAGGTTTATCGCCTACTGCTGTGTAGTAGCGATGTGAAGAAAGTTCGTGCGGAGTTGATGGAGAGCTCATGAGTTCACCTATGAGAGGCAAGGCTGGTCATCTCAAAAGGGCATGAATGAACTTTACCGGTGTGAAAACATTCACCAAAACTTGTTTAATTTCATTCAACTCTCAAAGAAACCATAAATCAAAGTTTTGTACTTCTCGCTCTTCCTAACCTTTAGACAATCCGTTTTTAGCCGATTGCTTCTTCAATGATACTACCTTTACCGTAGTTTTTAGGTCTGTGAAATTACTGTCAGATCAAATTAGTGAAACGCGTGTTTCTAAAGTCATTATCGTATCAACTATTCAACATTGAATAATTAACTCGGTCAGATCCGGTGAAGTTATATCACTGGTCTTGACTTAACCGTCATGCCAAATTCCTATTCCTCATAGTTCCAATTCTGTTTATGGTTCCAATTTACCAAAAAAAAAAGGAAGAAAAAACTTCTCTTCAATCTCCATTGTCGAGGTGGAAGATAAGTCTGAGGTTCAAAGCTAGAGGTTCCCCATTACGACGTGGCCAAGAAGACAATTTGGGAGAGATTTGGCTTCGAGCATGCTAGTTCCTGCGGACAGCATACTTCCAAGCTCATGGCAGTAAGAGAAAAACCGATGGGCCTTCTCTTCGCGCCAGCTAGTTGGTCGTACTCTATATTCCCACGTTATCCCAATAATTGTCGGTCGTACTAGAAACAGTTTACCGCGGCATAAAATCGCTACAATTTTGTAGCTTCCGTCAAATCAAACTCGGGCCTAGACTTAGACCTAGATAGATGTGCTTCTCTAGCACTGGGATACAGCCCAGTGGCCTGGAACTGCGCGATCAAATTGTGACATACCTCGCAAAAGAGCAAATCTTGAGTTTAATCAAATCAAAAGATACGGCACAAAAGAGCGAACAAATCAATACAAAGATTTGGATCATTTCAAAAAAAAAAACGCTCATCATTCATTGATTCATAATGTAGCACAATTAATTGAGCTTCAGCCTTGCTACCTTTGATCTATCGTCAAGAAATTATTTCTTGGCATCAGACTTCATACCTGCCTGAATCCATTCTCTACCTTTCTCTGCCGCAGCCTTCATTTTTGCCTCACGATCAGGGTCTTTCTTCAAGGCCCCGATGTTGTGTGGCTCTGGTACATGACGACCCTTTTCAACTGCAGGTCTCTTTTCCATTCTTTCATCCCATGCCTTTAGAGCTGGGAATTCCTCGATATCAACTCCACTGTAAAAGGCAGCAGTTACCCAACCCCAGTGAGCAATATCAGCGATTGTACATCTATCACCAACCACTGAATTGTGTCGTTAGTGATTTTTCTTTGAGATAAATATGGGTATATGGGGGTACCCCTTAGCCATATTGAACAACCGAATTGTAAAATATGCCAAAGGTGGGCCGATTACGAAGCAAGAATTGAGGAGTCAATTATACTCACAATAACCAGAGGTTGACTTTTCTAGATGGGTATTGAGAACGGAATACAAGCGCCTGGTCTCATTGGTATAACGATTGATACCATACTCAATCCTCTCCGGGGCATATTTTGAGAAGTGATTAGCTTGGCCTTGCATGGGACCTACACCCGCATTGAGGAAGAAGAGCTAGTTACCATATCAGTTTTTTTCGTTTCGTTTCAGGTCTGGAAATAAAGAATGACTTACCCAGTTGTTGACTTCATAGTACTCTCTTGTACCCTTTGGGTATGAGATCTTATGCTCGGTATCATATCTATCGACGAGGTATTGTTGAATGCTACCACTTTCGAACAGATTGATCTTCTTCCCATCCGTGAATGTATCGGTCAAAGCAGGAATTCGTCCATTAGGGTTTATCTCAATAAACCAAGGCTCCTTTTGGGTGTTTTTGGAGATATCAATCTTGTGTACCTCGTATGAGAGACCAAGTTCCTCCAAAGTGATAGAAATCTTGATTCCATTAGGAGTTTGGGTTGTGTAGAGGTGAATGTCTGATTGAGATGCCATTTTGGGAGTGATATGAGAATGTAACTGTGTAAGACGATCGTTCATAGACATGAAATTGCAAGTGGGAAAGAGTGAGATATATAAAGAATTCTTGGATTTTTGATTTGTAATATATCTGCCTTTGAATATCACATAGGTGTAACTTCCCTCCGCTCTACCCCACCTACTTAGGCACCTTACGATGATGCGATCTACGGAATTAAATGTTAATACTGCTGATCCATTTATCTTACCAAGCTAAAATCGAAAAACGGCTGTTAGAAAGGAGGCTTGGCGGAAAATGCCGAATGTGGTACTTTTTCAACAAACACATGACTATTTGACAGATAAAGGGACGATTCCTTTTCATGGCATTTAACGTGATCAGAACGACGAAAAATTCCTCCTGCCGCCATCTTGGTTGTCGTATTTAAAAGCGACAGTCTTTTCTTTAGACAGTACAGTTTGATAGCCTTTTGTTGAAGAATATCTGATATCACGTGACCAACATACTAAAACCAATCAACACTAGCTCTGCCGGCTAAAGTGCTTACTCGGTAGATTCCAGACTTAGGTGAGAGACAATCTTTCTTCTATTCTTTCATAAAACCTACAACAAGATCAAAATTAACAACCATCGATATTTAATACACTCGCCACAACATCATGGCGTGGAGACAACAAGGAAGCACTGGATCGAATAACATTCCTTTGGGAAATCGACGACGTTTTCCTGGCGATGGCGGATCTGCTCAAGAGGAAAGCTATAGCCCAGCTCCATCTTCCAATAATTATTCTTCCAATAATCAACAAGATTCAGGTATCAAGCGTGGAAGAAGTCCAACTGTGAAGTGTAAGTTTAACCTATCTAATATCGCAATCAATCAGTCTAACATTTTCTAGCCGAAGAACCTGCAGGCGATGGATCTCGACGTCGCAAGAAGAGAAATCGTTGGGGTGATGCTACCGAGAATAAGGCTGCAGGCCTTATGGGACTTCCAACTGCAATCATGGCGAATATGACAAGTGAACAACTTGAAGCTTATACCTTACATTTCCGTATCGACGAAATTACACAAAAATTGAGAATCGATGATGTTGTTCCAGCGGATGGCGACAGGTAAGGAAGCTCTTTCTAATGTGCGCTCAACAACAACTAATTATCTCTTCTGCAGATCTCCTTCGCCCGCCCCTCAATACGATAACTTCGGTCGCCGTGTCAACACTCGAGAATACAGATACAGAAAGAGGCTCGAAGATGAGCGACACAAATTGATTGATAAGGCTATGAAAGTTATTCCTAACTATCATCCACCACAAGACTATCGCCGTCCTACTAAGACTCAAGAGAAAGTCTATGTGCCAGTCAATGACTACCCAGAAATTAACTTCAGTATGATTGCTAACCCTCTAACCTTTCTAACCTTATTCTCCCTTCCATATCCGTTTTCATTTATCGTGTGACAGTAGATGCAGCATTTGGAAGACAAATGCATAGCACCGTCATCCCTGACTTGTCGTACTCACTGCCATTTTGCTCAAAGCTTTTGATCCTATACTAACACTTAGCTTGCGCTTTACTAAAGTTGGTTTACTTATCGGTCCTCGTGGCAATACATTAAAGAAAATGGAGACAGAATCTCAAGCTAAAATTGCTATCCGTGGAAAAGGATCCGTCAAGGAAGGAAAGGGCCGTTCCGATGCAGCCCACACCAGCAACCAGGAGGAGGATCTTCATTGTTTGATCATGGCAGATACCGAAGAGAAGGTCGAAAAGGCAAAGAAATTGATTCACAACATCATTGAAACTGTGTGTCTCCAACACTCAACTCTGCTATCGTTCTTCAAATACTAATTATTTATAACAGGCCGCTTCTATTCCAGAAGGTCAAAACGAGCTTAAGCGTAATCAACTCCGTGAACTCGCTGCTCTCAACGGTACACTTCGTGATGATGAGAACCAAGCTTGTCAAAACTGTGGTGAAATTGGCCACAGAAAATACGATTGTCCTCAACAACGCAACTTCACTGCCAACATTATCTGTCGCGTTTGTGGTAATGCTGGACATATGGCTAGAGATTGTCCAGATAGACCTCGTGGTGCCAATTGGCGTAATGATGGCCCTGCAGGTCCAAATGCTGTACCAGGTCAAGGACGTATCGGCGCAGGCGATGCTGTTGACCGCGAATACGAGGTAAGCATAAACTTAATCCTGGCTTCTATAGTACCAGGTATTAACAACTTTGTCTTAGCAACTTATGCAAGAACTTTCTGGTGGTGCCCCAGCTGCTACAGATGCTCCTCGTCGTATCGAATCTGGTCCATCAGGTTATGACCAAGGTCCACCAAAGGATCAAGAAGATGTCAAACCATGGCAACGAGGTCCATCAAATGCTCCTGCTCCATGGCAAAGAGGAAATGATGGACGTGATAACCGCGATCCTCGTGATTCTCGCGACTCTGCGCCTTCTGGTCCTGCTCCATGGGCCAGACGAGGTGATGACAGAGATAGAGGGGGCTACCAAAATGGTGGATACAATGCTCCACCATCTGCTCCTTGGGCAAAGCAATCGCAAGCACCAGCTGCACCAACTGGTCCTGCTGCTTATCCTGGTCAAAATGGTTATGCCCCTGGATATGGTAGCTATCCTACTCAACCACCACCAATGGGTGCTCCTCCTGGTCTCAGCAGTATTCCAGGACCCCCAGGCCTTAGCACTGCTAGCATCAATGCTCTCCTTCAACAATATGCCAATGCTCCTCCTCCACCTCCTCCATCAAATTCTGCCCCTCCACCACCTCCACCTGGAAGTGCTCCTCCTCCACCACCACCAAGCGATCAACCACCACCACCACCTCCTCCAGGAAACTAACCGTCGTCTTCTCACGTAATAAAGAAGATCATTCTCCATTACTTTTTGAGCCGGCGTGCAAAAACAAACAATCACTACGCCAGGTTTGAAACCCATTCAGGAAGGATACTAACCTAGGGATTTCTTTATCCATATACACAAGGCTTCTTTGTATTGACAAAGACAATGTTAATTATTGGGCCTCTTTTTTCGAGTCCATTCACTTTAATTTTTTCTTTTGATTAGTGCCTTGCTGCTAGTGTAACCATAGGAAATAAATTATTTATGAATATCTTTTGCTTCTATGATCAATGTGTGTGATACGGTGAAACTTTTAAATGATCTGTCGAGTGACCACCTGCTTCGTAATCCCATCCCCTGGTATTATGGCAAATTTGATATTCTTAAGTTCATCAACCGGTAGAGTCATGTAGTCCGATTTTGGAAAACCAGGACTCAACTTTCCAACTGTCCCAAGAGGTAAGATCTTCTAACCCCAATCAGACTTTGTTCACCAGTTCATGTGGCCAACAGCTGATTTTCATGCCCCTTTACCCCCTTCTTTCCACTTTGTGGGGCGCTCAATCTAAGACTCTTTTTACTTGAGCATTCCGCTGTCGCATCATTCATTGCGCGGTATGCTCCATCAAAAAGTGGTTACCTGACAGCTCTGTATTCTCCCCATACTCCTATCCGGTACCTTGAAGTGAAAGCTCCCACGCATGTTAAGGAAGCTGCGCGGAGACTTCTAGAAGGTCGTACAATCTTACTTCTCCATGACTTTCAAGCCCAATTACAACCCAGAGACTCTCTCTTGCCTGTGTGAGGCTTGGATTGTCAAGGTGGTTGTATCTTTGGTCCTTCGAACAATTGAATTGATGCATCCTTGGTACCGAATTTGTAAGATCCAATGCATTTTACAGGTGGATGAACCTGCAGTTGAGCTGGGTCTTACAAGTGAATAGAATTCTAGATTGAAGGGAGATTCCGGCCGGACATGGGTTTCCTATATCTCACAGAAGAATTTCATAGAATTTCCAAATAATCGGAAGAGTGTACATTAAGTTACGTTCCTAAACTACTTACTATTTCTCATTGAATAGAATCCTACACCAATAACGCCACCAAAGTACAAGACCTAAAATTTCCAAATCACACAACAGATAACAAACTTAACCCTTGGATATCTTAGATCTCTTCGCCTTACCTGATCGTGTACGAGAAAGTGGTGAAGCCCTCTTCAAACTCTTCTTCCCTTTAGTTGTGTCCTTTTTGTCTCCAGCCGGCTCCAAATCTACAAAGTCATTCCAAAATTCATCCTCCTCCACTTCATCACCCTCATCCTCCTGCTCAATTTCCGGCTCTACCACGTATTTCTTCTCATTAAATGTGACCTTAGGTCTCGAAGTTCGCCTACCGCTCACAAAACTCGACTTCTGTGGTTGAGCACTAGATCCCGCGATTTGATAATAGTTATCAGAATCACTGAAAGGATCATAATCCTCGTCTGGCTTCAAGTCAGGGTCCGGACTAGCTGGTGGTTCTTCTTCCTCAACAATAGGGGTAGGCTTTTTTCCGCTGCTCGGTATTTTGGGTATCACTATCTGGCTATTCATGCTAAGGAGCGCATTCGCCATTTTTTCCTTGTGCTTCCTATCACTTTCTGCCTTCTTTCTTTTCGCTGCTTCCCTCCTCTCTTTCCTTTCCTTTTTTCTTCTCTCCTTTGCCTCCTCTTCCGTTTCAATTTTTTCATTATTTCCACCTCCTGGAATTGCAATTGCTCCGCCACCACCGGGAGGTGGCGGCGGTGGTGGTTGATTGTTATTGTGATGATGATGATCATCCGGGTTATTTAACGCGTCTTGTCTGGCTTTCTCAGCGGCGTCCTTCTTAGCTTGATCCGCGTCCCTTTTAGCTTGCGCAGCCTGTTCTTTCGCAGCAGCGTCTGCGGCTGCCTGTGCTTCTCTTGCTGCAATATTTCTGAGTCTAGTTGCATGTGCTTGAAGAGCAATTCTTGTCTTGATACGTTTCAATCCAAGCTTAGGTCCCTCGCCAGCCACTACATTATCATGTTAGTCATATAATCTCAAAAGCAAAAGTAGAAGGATAAACATACTTATATCGTGAGCAGTTTGAAGATCAGCCATCCTTTGTTTGTTTCCTTCATTTTCTGTAATTGCTGCATCTCTTTGTAGTTGAAGAGTTGCACCAGTTTCCTCACACGCTGCTAGTAAAGTTTCTAACTCGGCAATTCGAGCCTCGAGCTCAGCAACTCTCTGAGAATCATCGGGCATAAATTCTGGAGCACCTGGTTCTATTTCAACCTGGTGTTCAATAAGCTCCTGTCTGTGTTTTCGACACTCTCTCAATTTATTTTGAAGATCTGTACGTTGATTTTGGAGAGCTGCTAAAGTCTTCTTTGAAACATTAAGTTGTATTTCCATATTAAGATTCTGATCCCTGAGCTTCTTGAGATCTTCAGCTTGTCTTCTGAGCCTTTCGATATGTTGCTTGTTGATTTCTTCATTAGAATCATGTGATGTAACACTTTCCACATCTACATTCACATCAGCCGCAGCATCATCCAATTCCTTTTGATGTGCTGCTGCAGCTTTCTTTCGATCCTCTTCTGCTTTTCGGTCTCTTTCGACCTTTGCAGCTTGCAACTCTTCTTCGATTGCAGCATTCTCAAGTTCAAGCTGAGCTATTCTTTCTTTAGCAGCAGCTTCTCCATCATTGTGTTGATGAAGACCTGCATACTCTTGTAGTTGTCGAAGATGATGTTGTCCTCTTCGTTGACAAGCATCGAGTTCCGCTTCTAGATTTGTAATGGTTATTTGATCATCATCATGATTCTTTCTACAATCGGCCAAAGTCTTTCTCAAAGCTCTTAGACCTTGTGGTGAGATTCCATTAGCATTTAACCTAGCTTCATCAAGTCTTGCTTGAATATCTTTGATTTGTTGTTCGTGCCTCTTGCTAGCTTCAGAGATTTGCTCGTCCAAAAGAGCGATTCGTAAGTCCCTGTTCTCAAGGTCATCGAGGGCCTTAGCGAGGGCCCCATCAGCAGCAGGCTCCTCTGGAGGTCTTCCTTGCATTTCTGCGACCTCCTTTGTTAGAGCATCGATTCGTTCTTGCATAGTTGCTCTGAGTCCAATGTTTACACTGTTTAAATTTGTGATTTGTGTTCGCAGATCGGCAATTGTCGTTCGTAAATCTGCAATGATCTCATCACTTTCTTCCTTTGCCTCAGTCCGTTGAGCTTCAGCCATTGCTACCCAATGTTCATGTTCCTCCTTTATCTTAGCCAACTTAGCCTCAGATTTAGCCAGAGCCTCTGTTCGTAGTTCCGTAGCAAATGCTAAGGCATCATGAATTTCTTTTTCGGCCACAATTCGTCGAGCTTCAGATCTTGCCAAAGCCTTATCAGCCGCTTCCTTTGCCGCAGCTCGTTCAGCTTCGGTCTTCTGTAAGGTTAGATGCCTTTCTCTTATCGCTCCAGCTAATTGTGCCTTGAACTTTGCAACCTCGGGATTCGCTGTCTTGGAATCTTTTTCCAATTGATTCACAAGTTTGTCAATCTGTGCTTTGGCGTTCTTAGACTCTGATTCCAATTGCTTCTTAAGACGAGCGATCTCTTGTTTCTGAGCTGCAATCTCAGCTTTACTTTTTCCATCTTTCGGATCATCTGGATCATCGGGGTCATCGGGATCGACGTAGTTGTTTATGGACTGTCTAGCTAGCTCATTATCGATATAATGCTCGAGTGCGATAATCTTCTCTCTGAGATCTTGTTTTTCCTGTCGATTTTTGCTTATATCGTCATCAAAATTAATCATGACGGTCAGGGATTCGATTTTCGCGTCTCTTGTAGCAATGTCTTCTTGGAGATCTTTGATAGTCTCTTCACAAAGGTGCATATTCTTTTCGTGAAGCATGTTTTGATCCATAAGATCTTTCAGCTGCTGTTCTAAATTCAACTTTTCTTCATTTGAAAAAACAGCACCTCCGCTGGCTTCGATCCTTACTATCTTGGTGGCTTTCAGCTCGGCTTCCTTCAAAGCTGCGTTGAGTCTATCCATCTCGACATTCATTGCTCTCAAGTCTGCTTCGTATTTTTCAGATTGCTCCCCAACTGCTTGTCGTTCCAATACTAGCTTCTTTATCTCTCTCTGTAGATCCCCAACAACCTTATTCTTTGTGGATATAGAGGCGTTTGCAGCATTTATTTCAGCTCTGAGCCTCTTGTCCAATTCCTGCTTATTCTTGTCGTCTGGATGAAGTATGACATTTCTCAAGCTATTCTCTAGCTCTTTGTTTCTAGCTTCTGATCCTTCTGCATTTTCATGATAGCTATCAAAATGTCTGCAGAGTTCATCGAAAGCTTGATCAGACAGCAAAACTCCAGGACTTGGGTCATTCGAACTCGGTTTCAAACCTCTTGCCACTGCATCGATATATTCGGTTTGTTGACGGCACTGTTTTGTAAGTTCCTCCAATTTCGCCCGACATTCTGTCAACTCTTTATCCAATCGTTCTATTTCTGCTAATTCTCCTGAACAGTCTCTATCGGGTGGTCGAGTACCACGAGCCATGAAGAAATCTCTCCTTTCTCGTTCCAACCTTTCCATTCTTTGAGAAACTTCTTTTAGAGCCTCCTGTGTTTTAATATACTCTTGCTGTACTCTTCGATCGTAACTCAAGTTCGCATTATTATTGCCTGATGCGTTTTTTGCGAGCTCCACCATTTCAACAACCTCCTGAACAAGTTTGCTGAATTGCTGAGGTGTACTATGATTACGCCTCAGATTGATAACAGGCTCTTGAGTTTCTGAATCATATTCCACATCCTCAGCTTCCCTCTGACTCTCTTCCTCTCCCAAAGCTTCACGAAGAACCCTCAAAGTCGTAGTGATAGCCGCATGCCAATCCGCAACCACTGTTCGGAATATTGCCGGATCAATATTCTGATTCGGATGGTCTTTTTGAGTAGTGAAGAAATACTGTGTCGCTCTTCGGAACTCCAAGATATATTGCTCGGAACGATTGCGTAAGCCCCGCCACACACGACCTTTAGCTCGGTATGACATAGCTTGTTGATGTCCTGCCTCAATCATCTCCCTCATCCTGATACATTGATTGCTTATGAATTCTATACCGCGATCATCAACTACTCGACCATGTTCGTTTATGGCATCCACAATAACTTTCAATACCGCTGCCCATTCATCTCTTTTCCTATCCAATGAAACTAGACTTCCTTGGGGTAGGCCACTGGCAATTGGCATTTCTTGCTCCTTGCGTGCTAGAATATCTTCTGTTTTCAATCTTCTCTCCTGCTCCTCTTGCCAAAAGGCATAATCTGGTTCGACATCAGCCATTTTGAAGAGGTTTCAGCGTGATAGCTAGCTGTATGTGTGTACGATTGATTTTCCGAATTGAGTTGTTGAATTGGTTGGTAAAGTATACCAGCGACCCGTGAATGTACGGATCATTGACAGATAGTACAAAATAACAGAAGCTACTTATCGAATCCATTATTCCTTTGTGATTCTCCTGTTCTCAAACCTTGATGCAGCCGAGTTTTGAAAATATTAGAGATATCTTTGTTTTTCTTTGTCATGACAAGATCTCTTTGAAGTCGCAACACATTCTTCTTCTAGGAACACAATTGATCTTTTGATGGAAATCGTTCTAGGAATTGAAAAACTTATTGCTTGAATGGATTGAAAGGAATTCATACTGCGGCGTCTCTATGTTGATGAAAACGGCGAAAGAGGAGAATTTTTTAATGGGGGTCGGTATGATCATGTTACTATTGGATTTGCGGATTGTGGTTATTGAAATTGTATGGTGAAGCAATTTACTTGAACACGAGTATTTGTAATTAATTGCTTATTTGGTATTCTATTTCTATCAGATGAATGGAGGAAAAAGTCAAAGACATTACCCCGATCCATACTTTTACACAACACCAATTAGGGGTACTTCACAACATGATCAATCATACCGATAAATCTACCAGAACAAGCAATTCTTTAAACCCGAAGTAGTCAAATAACTAAACATCAAATCAGACAACAGAAAAAGCTTTCAAGAAATCAATGACCTTACGGACTACAAGCTCCAAGAAGTTCGAAGATCAAAGCATGTGATTAACCTCTCGTCTCCGAGAACGCCTGGTCATTCCGTCCCCTATTTAACCGAATGAAAAACTTCGGTGTGCAGGTTACACGAACTCGTGTGGACTCCACACAGACGCTATATATGAGCTTACCCACGCCTTTTGATAATTCCAGAATCGCGATGAGTGCTCGTCCTCGAGCTTTATGCTGCATTTCTGTCTCGGGGAATGAGAGAGCTATATTTCCCCATTCGCCAACAAAATAAATACATCCCATTTATCACAAAAATTTTCCATAATCACACTGCAGTATCAAATTGAAATCCGCAAAACCCATTTTTCAAAATTCGAAAGAAAAATCCCGTTTGAAAGTCCCCTCAGAACCTCCTGACATTGCAGGATATCTCTTGTATGTGATACAATTCCAAGCAAAACGAGATTAAGTTTTTGACTTACTGCTGATTACCCGATAATTGAAAGTCTAGAAAGATATTTTTAGAGATTATGGGAGAGTCATGGGATATGCGGTGATGGGGTGAAGTACCTGTACGATTGGGAATTTATCTTTCGGGACTGATATGGCGGGTTGGGAAAGGGAATTGGTTTGTTTGATTATTGTGTGCTGAATATGTATGTATAAGAGCAATGGAGAAACATTAGGTCTGTTAGTGGGTGTGTGGATTGATGGGACGCTTTCCAACTTTCGATATTTTTTTGGTGTAACGTGGTTTAACAGTGACTCGGCTATATCAATAGGTTGGCCATTTCAAAATATATATAAAATCAACCTTTTTCAATATTCATATTTTAATTATTAATTATTATTTTTGAAAAAGAAAAGAATATTAAATAGTAATAAAAAATCAATTATTCAGAAATATAATTTCTTCCCAAATAACTCTTTTCGATTTCAAAAAAAAAATCAAAATTGTCACAATTTTCATTATAAAAAAGCTTTTTTTATAATAACTATTTTGAAAATTCTAATTTATTAAATCTAATTAGATTTTTATAATCTATATATAATCAAATATTTAATATTAGATTTTTAGAAAATTATATCAATAAATAAAGAAAGTGTACAATTATATATAAACATATTTTGTATATAAAAATGGTGGCCGACTTACTGATATAGCCGAGCCACTGTTAAACCACGTTATATATTTTGTAATTATCTAATATCGGAATTTATTTTTTGATTATTTATTTCTAAATAATAATTCCAACAACTCCTGAAATAAATGAATTCGTATATGATCAAAAGATAATCACAAGTCTATGTTTGCAGTATCTCGTTAGTCTATACACCCACTGGCGGTCTCTCAATGTATCTCCGATATACCTCCAAATAACAAAACACCTCTTCTCCATCTACAACAAATCTCTTCATCCCCTCCCCTCCCAAACCATTTCCAAAGCCCCAACATACCTCCTCCTATTCTCCTTTCCAACCAAATGTCCACAATGCGTCGTCTCCCCAAACCTCACTCTCATCACCCCATCGTTGCCTCCAAATCCCCTCCTCCCCGCCTCCTCCGCATGCTCTTCCACATCCTCCCACCTCACCATCGCATCCCCCTCACTAAAAACATACAACCTCCTCGCATCCCTCCCAAAAATAACCTCATCATTAAGATCCCTCCTAATTCTCTCTATCAAATCCATCCCCCCAAACAGTTTCAATAAAATTTTATACCCCCCAAAAAGCGCATACAAAAAACTCATACACAGAAAATGCACCATCCAGAATTGCGGAAACCCAAGCGAAAATGCAGAAACAGTAGCTCTGTATCTGAATTTTCCCGGGGATGAATCTAGGACCAGAGAAGTGATGGGAAGGGATCTTCCTAGCGCACGATAGAATTCGCGCGCGAGAATCGAGAGAGTGAATGCTCCGCCGTTAGAAAAGGAGTGAGCGAGGATTTGGGAGTTGGTGGGGAATTTGTAGAGGATGTTGAGAGCGGGGGTGAGACGGGTGAGGGAGTTAGTGGAGGAGGTGAAGATGTGGGGGGTGGAGGTTGTGAGGAGGAGGATGGGGGTGTCTGGATGGAGGGTGTGGTAGAGAGTTGTGTATTTGGAGATGTGTTTTGGGGAAGCGTTGAGCCAGGAGGTGAGGAGGATAAGGTCAGGGGATTTGGGGGAGGATTTGGTTTTTGGGAGAAGGGAAGATGATGAGGATGATGTGGTGGATTCGGAGGGGTCGTGGATGTAGATACAAGGGGAGAGACGTGTGAAGTCGGATAGGGTTGTCATGATGAGGGTAATTTTGGTGGGCGAGTCAAATTCTGAATCTATATTATGAAGAGTTGTGAATTGGAAGAAATTGCGCAAATCATTAATGTTATCCCATGTTTATATAGATGGCCAGCCCCTCTAGGATTATCTTTCTTGGCTCAACAATTTTATAATGTTGCTAGGAAGTCTCCACGTGGTCTCCTATTCTAAACATAAGCGTGGAGCGGAAACGGAAACGGAACGCGGGGTTCAGAATCCTTCCGAATATGAGGTTATCACCTGTCAGTAACCAACGGGAATGACATTATAACTGTTTCGAAATATGAAGTTCAAAGCCATCATCAGCAATATTGTGATTGTTGAATTATATATATTGAAATACTTGACCTTCACTCATAATCCCAAGAATTACCCAATCCAAATTTAACATCGTAATTCCACCATCGACCACATCTACACCCTACCAATACTTCAATTAACCACATCACCACTCAACCCCTTATCCTCCCCATCTCCAATCATCACTCTTTGTTGTAATTCAAATCCAATTCCACAAACTTCTTTCCTTCTCCTAGCAAACATTCCATATAAACCCAACCAAATGGTTCTATCCCTACAATCCGTGGCTCCAAACCATTCACTCGCAACACAATCCGGCATATATCTATTCAATTCTTCTTTCGTCGCTTGAATCCAAGGTTTTGGTATTGGCCAATCTGAAAAATGCATATATTTTGCTTCTGCCAAAGCCTTTTCCGCGTCCCAAGTATCTTTCAAATTGCCCAAATATTCTTGATGGGATTTGCGACGGAGTTCTCCCGAGAGAAGATCGTAAGGACGAGATGGAATTGCTAATATATTAGGTGAAAACATTGTATTCAATATATCCATATCGTTCTCATTTGGTCCCGCATGTTGTACTGCCGATTCGATTCTTTGGAATAGGTTGGTGGAAGGATGTAATAATAACAAATGAGAGGAATATGCCCAATTGGTTGGCGGACCGAAATAAGTATATGGCATGGCGACCGGAGCAGATGGTAATAGAAACAATTCATCCATATTCCGAATATAATTCGCATCCGAATCCAGATGTAAAACTCGATCATATTGCGTGAGATTGAATGCGAGAAGTTTGGTATATGAACCTGCCCATGTTGTCTGTTCCGTATGATTCTGATGCAGAACATCCACCGGTTGTAATTTGACGTAGTAATCGGTTTGTGCTTGTTTCAATAATCTGGCAATCGGTGTGAGAGGCTTGGAAGGAAGAGTCGTATCGATTTCTTCAACATTCCAATGCGATGGATATAACATTAATCGTTGAGCACGACTACCGATTGTTTCGACTTGCGACCAGAGCATAAGAGCACTACACAGATATTCAGGGAAAGCAACATATTGAACATATGCGAATTTGAACCAGTCAATCGCAGGATCCTCCACTGTAGTTACTGGACCTGGCATTGGAGGAAATACATCGCCATCATGATTGTGAAGGAAGACATATCGAACGACCAAAAATATAAGTAGAAATATACACGACAATGGAAAAGTAGTTGAAGATATTAAAACTCGCAATCGACGAGTATAGAAGCGAAAGCCTGCCATACAGACATTTGAATATGAAAGAAGGATAACAACATCTCCATTCTTGAGATTTTTCCTTTTTTCCCAATTAATACCTACTCGAGCTCCTTACTTGAATATTATTGATTGTTACGGCTAAGTTGTCCGATACCATAAACACCAAGACGCTAAAAAGATTAGAATGTAAGCTTATTTCTTGGCCCCTGAGGTTAAATAGTGCGATATCTCACCGCTTTGAATTTATTATTAATCTTGAATGAAGGAACTAAATGGGTCAGTCAATTGACTGATGCATTTCTTTCTGAGAGTTAAAAAGCCCCCAAACCCCCATATCCTCGCTGCGCTCGAGTGTATGGAGTTGCAATAACCTTATCAATGTCAGGGTAACTTGTATGTGTGATATACAGACAGAGCGGAGTACCCCAAGTGGGATGGATGGGCAGAATAAAGACAACGAGAGCCATTGGACCATACATATTGACCCCTTTCGCACTCAAGGAATTGCGATTTGTCAATGAGCCAATCTTTGATCCAGTCTCCGGAATTCGGCACAATCAAAGTCTGGTGCATGATAATGGTTTTGTCAAAAGGCTCGTAGATGATCATGATACTATTCACAAAGTCGAGTCAACTTCAAAGGCATCTCCCATATGGGATGGATACATCTCAGGACCTCTTGGTATGGAATTCTCAAGTGAGCCTTTCTATTTCATAGTGTTGAGGTACTGAACGGATATCCCTGCTTACACTCTCTACTTATCGTATTCTTATCATCTTGGCTATCAAATTCCATGATACCACCAATCTACCCAATTTCCAATTCTCAACCTCCTTCACCTCAATCCCAAGAGATGCAATACTCGATACAAGATCAAAAGGCCGAAATTTGGTTACTGATCTGATAAGTCTGCTATCAGAACTTCGAAATCATTTTGGACAAATGCTTCACGTCTGTGTAGTTCACGAAGATGGAATACAAAACCTCCTTCTTTGCCAAAGGAAAGCACTCGAGGGAAATCCTTCATTACATCCTGAAGCTTTGGAACTTCTCTGTGTTGAAGCAGTTCTCAACTCTCAGTTGACCATGCAATTCGTTGCATGATTCATCGTTGCACACAAGTAGTTCACTGAGATTAGAGCTGAAGTCTGCGTGAACCCCTTTGGACTTCTCCTATCATTCTTGCGAATATTGTAAATCTTCACATGCACGGCTGCAAGAGCTTAGCTTCTATCATACCAAACAACTATAGCTAAATGGGGGTCCCCAAGAATGCCTACATTGCAAATACAACTGTTTACTCACGGAGCAAAAGATCATTCAATAATGCACGCCTCCAATATTTCCAAACCAAAGTCTGATCTCGAAAAATAAGACAACTAGACGTAGTTCCTTTCGTCAAAAAAGAAAACATCCTTCAATTTTCTTCACACACCTAGATTCGCTCTCTCATCCAAGATACTCACAAACCACCTCTCATCATCAGTGTAAATGTAGCAGTCAAAATATCACCCACAATCAAACCACAACATATACCCGCACATCTGCCAACACATTGCCAATACCAATAATGATAATGAGTTGCCATACTGCGGCGATCGATCACGATAAATTCATTGCTTCAGCGTAATTTTCATCCTCAATCATGAAAATAGATCCGCCCTTCCTACTTGGGAACATACTTTCTCTACCCAAGATATCCGAAATTAGCTAGACTCATCAATCGTGAAGGAAACGTATACTCCTCCTGATCTCAATATACCATCTTTCTTGGAAGTCCACGAGAGACATTCAAATGTCAGCCTTTTTGGGAGTCCAGGTTTGAGCATACAAAATTATTAACCCTTCACTCTTCGCTCCTCACACATCATCTCCTCAACACCACCCGGCCACGTCCATTCAATTCCTCTCAAACTCTGCAATGCCCCTCGCTCACTCATCACCGCCATCTAAGTACCCAAATACCCATGCTTTCATCTCATCTCATCTCATATCATCTCATCTCCATCTCCCCCTCAAAACCACTGAATTTCCACCCCCTCCCCTATCTCTAAAAAGAAGCAGTATTATACAATCTATAACAAAGCATAATCATACCATTCATATCCTCACAATTAACTTATAAATTTTTTTTTTTTAGTAGTAAGATATCATAATATCAAAATATCCCTCGATACTTGTTACTCTGATCCATGTGATCTCAATAAGACCAACCCAATTACTTTCCCCTCTCTTTCCCCTCTCTTCCCTTCCTTTCTTTTCAAACACTTTCAAATTTGAAGTCTCTCGTTATTACCACTACAATCTCTATACAAGCAGCAAAGCTCACAATATTTATAAAATTTCTTTATCCTATTCTATCCCATCCTATCCTCTATCTCCCTCATCTCCCTCATCCCCCTCATCTCCCTCCAAAACCACCCAACCCAGCCCAACCCAACCCAACCCAAATCCAATCAATCAACACAAAAAATCACCATCATCCCCACAGTACGTGCACATAAACGATATAATTGTAATTCATCTTTAATAATCCAAGAAGTATCATCATCATCATTATTATCAACATAGCTACTCCTTATCTACCTGGCTATTCAACAAAGTCTCTCTTTCTCTGTGCAGTGTATACCTCCAATCCAAAACTCGATCCCAATCCAATCTAATCCCATTCTTTCTCTCCTGACCCCTCAATAAAAAATCTATTCCCCAACTCCCAAATTCCCGATCCCCAATCCCTACGTAGGTATCTAGATTCGCTTCTACTTCTACATCCGCATCCCCTTCTCCTTCTCCTTCTCATTCCTGAACCTCCTCCTCCTCGCAGAACAACATCTCTCAGTCATTCATTCATTCATTCATTCATTTTTTCGCATCTACAACCCCACTCCACTCCACTCCACTCCACCTCACCTCACTCTCCACTCTCCACCCACTCCGCCCCACCACACAAACAAACAAACAACACACAAACAATAAAATAACTTTCCATCGATCCCATCCCATCCCATCCCATCCTATCCCATCCCATCCCATCCTATCCTATCCACCCAAACCATCCACTCCACTCCCTCCCCTTCCTCAACCCACCTTCGAATATATAATTTCAAACCCGACCCCGCTGCAACAACCACTACAAATTACGAGATGTGGAAGATACCGTCCCTCGTGGCGCAATTGGCTAGCGCGTTCGACTGTTATTAATTGGGAGTCGTTAGATTCGTCCATGATATGGTATCGAGAGGTTCGTGGTTCGACCCCACGCGAGGGAGCTTGTGTTACTTTTTTGAGGGGGGGGTTGGGCTTTCAGGGGAAGGGAACTTTTTGATGAGGTAAGGAGGGGGTGAAGAAGGGGGGAGGTTTCTTTTGGTGGGGGAGAGAGGAGGAGGGAGAAGGATGGAGGGGGATTTCCGATTTGTTGATAGAAGGGTTTTTTGGTTGGGGAAGATGGTTTGTTAGTTATTGAGGGGTTCCTTGGGGGAAGGGAAAGGGAAAGGGAGAGAGAGGTAACGATGATATATTCCCAACAACTAAATAGATAATTCTCTAACAAATTACAATACACTATAATCTCATAACTAGATACAAATATACAAATATACAAATATACAATGAAAAATTACGAGATACATGCCAGGAAAATATTATACTATGTTTTCTTTCCTCAATCGAGTTCTTCCTACTGATTTCTCATTCTTCGTTCGTTCTTCATTCTTCATTCATTCTCATAATTTCATTCTTTTCTCTGTTCTCTGAATCTCTGTTCTCCTTCCCTTCCCTTCCCTCTCTATTCCCAACCATCTAATCATACAAAGCCCGCCTTGCTCCCATCACAAACCCCTTTGTGCAATCCACCAACAACCAACCATCAGAAAACAAAAAAGATATCAAAAATATCAAAAAACAAAAGAAAAACGCCCCTTCTCATATACTAATATACTAATATACTTCATAAGCCAGTCCCGTTTCAGAAAAAAAAATTGGCTTCCCTCATCCTCGTCCCTTCGTTCCCCATCCTCCTACTTCAATACTAATATCCCAAGCTCACCCCCAAATAAATTCACCACCCACCCACTCACCATCTCCCAACTATTTCATAGTTTTCAAGAATCCTTCTAAATCGAAACTTTCCTCATACTCCTTTCCATCCCACAATTCTCCCAAATCATCCAACCAACCTTTCTTTCCTTTCTCCCTTACTTCTCCAGTTGCATCAACCATATCTTCTTCTCGTTCTGCTTGAACACTACTATCCGCTGCTAATGGAACTTCTGATGTATCACCTAGATTAAAGAGGTCGAGGATTTGATCTGTTTCCATAGTTCCCAGACCCGCATTTTGTTGATTGACTACTGTGGATGCTACATCGATTTTGAATCTTTGCAGACTATTTGAAATAAATTAGTATTTGATTTGTGAAACGTTTGTGAGAGAAAAGAGTGAAGGGATGGAAAATATATATGAACAAGGATTATAACGAACCTCAAAATCTTTTCCTCCAAAGTACCCCTAGTAATCAATCGATAGACATTAACTACCTTCTTTTGACCAATTCTATGAGCTCTGTCCATAGCTTGTAAATCTTTTTGAGGGTTCCAATCATGTTCCACAAAAATAACCGTATCAGCACCCGTCAAATTGAGTCCCAAACCTCCTACACTAGTTGTAAGAAGTAAGACATCATATGAAGGATCGGAATTAAATTTGTTGACGATATCTTGACGTTTATTAGCATCAACTGATCCATCCATTCGTAAGAATTGTACTGAAGGTAACATCTTCTTAAGAACATCATTTTGAACCATATCTAACATTTCCTTCATTTGACAGAAGACTAAAGCTCGATGAGGTGAGACAAAAGAAGTTTCGGTGGTAATTTCAT